GAAATAAATAAATCAGGTTTACCGAGATGAAGTAAGGCCATTGCATCTTGATACCTTTGGATCATGTCTCGAGACCCCCTATGAAAGTGGAAGAGAAAACTATTCGTTTGCCAATACATTCAGAGTTGTTGTCACCACGTAGAACTGCGTCTAGAAGACCTTGGTAAAGATGACTCCAAATTTTGTTCTAATTCCGGCAGTGAAAATTTAAACGGTGCGCCTCAATTTTGACGCACATATCAACCATATATTGCTGGAAGAGTTTTCCCACTTGTAAAAGTATATTTATGCGTTGTAGACGAATTTGAAGTCGATATGAATAATACTCCATCGCACTCACAAATTCTCTCTGTTTTTTTTTGCTTATTGTTAACATTAGTGTCATTTTCATCATTAGAATCTTCATCGTTAGAATCTTCGTCATTGAAATCTTCAGTATTAGACTTTTCTTCATCAGAACCTTTGTTAAAATCAGGTTGTTCAGCTTTAAGTACGATGTCTCTGTATAATATTTTTCAGGGAGCCTATCCTTGCTTGCCGTAAGGGAATAAAAGAGGATACGCCAATGGGTCATAATATTTACTAAATTCTGCAATGCGTATCAATTGATCTATTGAAGTATGCAATACAATATCACGTTGTTGAACAGCATCATGAGATATGTCACTATCGATCCAAAGAGCAGCTACTTGAGAAGCTGTTGGCATATTAAAAGTTCTTTGGTCAAGCCCGGCAATATTAGTACAGATATGTACTAATAAATTCTTAATAGTTTCTATAGGTAAATTTGAAATATGACAAAAATTCGTAACATACGGATTAACATTGTCTAGCATAGTCTTTAAGGTATACATAGTAGACAAATTAAGGTTGGAAGTGGGAATGACGTTTGTTTGATGATGCATCTTATTTTGTGTGTCCCAGATATACATTTGAAGAAATTGAGGTTCGGAGCCGAGTTCTGGAATTAATGAACCAATCCTATGATAGAATGACTCTTGAACTCAAAAAGTGTAAACACCATCTCTTGCATTAGCAAGGTTACGATCGATGTGAACACCTACTGAAGTAAAAGTAAAAGCTAAATTATAAAGTTGCGCTTTATAACAAAATTCTGAAGCGATTTCATCTTGATTAGAAAAAAGTTGCTGTAGAAACAATGGAATAACAGGCTCCGCTAAAATGACTTTTCCATTAGAACAGCACATTCCTGGACTCTCCATCGGCAACTTTAAAGCAGAGCAGTGAATACAATTGACAATATCGATGTCATCAATTATATGTGGAACAGGGTAATTGTTTGAAGTTTCAGAGAAATTTCAGGCAATATTTCGTAGTTGTGCTTTAGTGAAACAACGTTTATATTGACTTGTATTTTTGTTTTTATCTATTTGTCATTTAGCAGCAGTACTACTTTGGGCCTGAAAATGTAGTTGTTCTTCATGATTATTTGTGCGTTGCTGATGTTGAGAATTAGCATTTTGTTGGCATCGCTATTGTTGTTGTTTGGTCGTTTCATTTTTTCTTGCATTGCACTTCCTAGAAGCTTCAGCTTCTCATTTTTCTTGTTGTGTAAGGTAATGCATTTTACGTGGCATTTTAGAAATAGGAAAAGTTTTGTGAAAGTTGGCTTTTTTTTTATGTATTTATTTTATTTATATATATATAAATATATATAGATGCGTTTAAAAGATCAGACCAAATTTAGGTTTATATATAAATGCGATACGTATATGTTATTGTTACTTGCCTGGCGTTTATCTATAAAATGCATTTAAAAGATCAGACCAGAGCAAATTTAGTTTTATACATACATATATAAACGCGATATATGTTGCTTGCCCAGTTTTAAACCGGTTTTTGATGTAATAAAGCGCCGATCGAGTAATTAATAATTGACGCCAAAAAAAAACAATGAATAAAATTGTCTCTACCGTATTATACTAATTGTACGTCTTATATAGCTTCCGAAGGTTTTAATAAAGAACTTCCAAAAATTATAAACAATGTGGTTTAAGACGGCAGTTATACTTTATTGTACGGTATATATCTGGTATTATATTATACTACCATTTTTATTTAATTTTATTATTAAACACGGTATATATATATATATCTGGTATTATTATACTACCATTTTTATTTTTATTATTATGTATAAATAAACATATAAACACATGACAATCAGTTTTTATTATGTAGATCACGTTTGTTGACTGACCAATCAAATTCGTTTTATTACGGACACACGCTTAAAATTTTACAAATATAGATTATTTTCACTTTCCGGGTACATATATGTAAATTCCCTAAATAATATGGCATACGTAATATATTTATAGTATAATAAAT